TGGGTGATGGTTAAACGGGTAAATGTATTTGTCAAAATTTACCAAACTATACTTTCAAACACTACAGTCAACTTCAGGATATACTCACAAATTTTATGTGATGATGTTTAAAGCAAATTCAAAATAAGAATGACTTTTATGTTTCATTTTTAAATTCATTAAATCTGATTCATACTAATCATCATTAAGAGAAGTGCATACTACATGGCGTGTTCAAATGCTAGCCTCAGCCTTTATTAAGTATACCTTTGATCACTTAGGCTGACGGGGAACAACTCAGATAAAAAGTTGGCAGATAATATGAAGTCCCTCAATTTGGCCTTAAAATGTTTTATTTTTGACATCAGCACACTCAACTTCTTAATTACATTGGCTTAGACTAGTATTTTATAATTTTCAACTATACAGTCCAGGATTCTATTGAGTAGTATGGGGAGAAGCAGATATCATGTCATATTACTTCCACAGCAGTTTTGATAGTTTTTAAGGATTATTTCCACACTATAAGGTAACTATGTGCCACTAAAAGCAAAAACATAAACTTTTGATGATTTCATTCAAAAACATTTACTGAGCCTGAACTACTAGGTTAGCAATTGTTTTGGATTTCTTTTTAGGCTTAGCGGACACCGCAGTGAATATAGCAAACAAAACCCCTTTCATTCCGGCAGTTCCATTCCTCCACATAACCATGGTACTCTATTTCACAAATGACTAAGCCACATTCTCACTGGTAAAAATACCAATCTCCCAACTCTTAAAGACTAAAGATTTGCTCATAAATTGTTTCCAGAAATCACTTGGAATGTGCCAGTTCAAAGAACAGGGATGAGTCAGTAACACACAAACTCAGGCATTCATGATCATCAGCCCCAACACCGGCTGCAGCACCCACGTATGCTTCGCTACAACTCACCAGGCTGCCATTGGAGGTCAGGGTGGACCTTCTGGAATTCCTCTTTTTTTTTATCCAATTCTTGTTGAAAGTGCTCAAATTCCTCTTGATACTTTTCTTTTTCTTTTTCTGAAATTTCTTTATCTGGTGTAGGCTGATTTTTTTTGGAGTTTCGGAATAGATCATAAAAAGGATAAGAAAATCATTAAGATACCTCAATATGTGCTATTTTTTTCATTTTAACTATTTGACCACTAGCTGAAAGGTTAACATAAACATATTATTCCTTCTTTACTTTAATGATAACAAATTTACTTTTTTTTTTTTTTGAGATAGACTCTCACTGTCGCCCAAGCTGAAGTGCAGTGTCTCGATCTCAGCTCACTGCAGCCTCTCCCTCGCAGGTTCAAGCAATTCTCCTGCCTCAGCCTCCTGAGTAGCTGGGACTACAGGTGTGCACTATCAGGCCTGGCTAATTTTTGTATTTTTAGTAGAGACGGGATTTCATCGTGTTGGCCAGGCTGGTCTCAAACTCCTGACCTCAGGTGATCCGCCCACCTTGGCCTCCCAAAGTGCTGGGATTACAGGTGTGAGCCACCACACCTAGCCTACTCTTGCCTCTAATAATTAACCACTACCATTTACTGAGCCCCTGCTGTAAGTGCACTGTCTTAATCCTTCAATATCATGAGGTGGCCAATACAAACATCTCTGTTTTACCAACTAAGAAACGAAGCGTTACAGAGGTTCAGTGACTTACACAAGACCATATAGCAGTAACTGGCAGAAACAAGTTCCAAACCTGTTAGTCTTCCCAAACATTCAGCTAAAAGGCAAAAACACTAAACTGAGAAACTTTTTGGAAAAAATGTGTAAAATTACCGGCTCTTTTCCAGGTTCAGTCAACTGGAAAGTCAGAAAGGAAAGTACATCATGGTCATCTACAAATTTAAAAAAAAAAGTCTAAAAAAGTTCCACAGGAGATTACTTTTATCACTGTAAATGAACTTTATCAGTATTTATTGCTTTAAATATCAATAATCAGTGAGGAAATTAACAAAAATTAACTCTAATTTGGTAAAGGCAATGGAACTTTGTGAGCTAAGAGACAAAAATTCACGTGATTTGTATTAGAAATAATCTAAATGTTACTTTCTTAAACCCTAAATCAGAACATTTAGCAGTGTTTAACATGTAATAGATGTTTAATAAACGTCTGATAAGAAATGAACAAACAAATGAAGGGTCAAAAGAAGTCCAGACTCCTTATTCTGGTACCAAGATCCTCTATGATTTCCCATAAATCCCCTTCATGGACAATGTACTAGACAAATGAGACAAAATCCTGGTCTCTAAATAATTCCGGTACCTTTATGTCTTTGAATCTTTCTTATAGTACCTAATGCCTTCTGTCTTACTTTCTTATTTGTTTCTCTTACATGGAGGATATTAATAATTTTATCTTACCTAAAATCATATTCAAAAATCAAATTTAAGTTGTGCAAGCCAAAAGCACCGGCTCAGCAGATCAAACTTCCTAACCCTTAACTAAAATACTAATCCTGGATAGTCACATTCACAAATCAAGAGCAATTAATTTCAAGTATATAGCAATCTTTATGCTTTGTACTATTTGCATAGAGATGTAGAGATGTAGTCAGATTAAAAAGAAAAATATAATACTGCAGTATAGATTAAGGAACTTAAGAAATTATGTTGTGTAATAGGGTACTGAACCTGGAGTCAGAAATCCGTATCAAGTCCTGCCTGGGGCTGACCATTAATTGGCCATACAATTTCCAGAAATTTATTTCACCTAAAATTTGTCAAGTTCTTCTAAAAATATGATCTTCCCTCCCTTCCTCTCTGGGTTGTCAGAAATGATCCACATATTTGAAAACATTTAAAACTACAATATATCATATAAACATAAGATGGCATTGACACTGAATGATAATTTATCACCTTATGTGGAAAAAAATGGTAACTACATTTTTGTTTAAAGTTTAGTCACCGAATAACCTTTCCTTAGGTTGCCAAATTCATTTATAAGTGATGTGACAACGATGAGGACCCTAAAACACTTGGCATTTAACCTTTTTGTGGAAGTGACCAGCCAAGACTGCTATGATTGCTATTTGAGTTCAGTGCCATGCGGTCTGTTCTGCAGCCTTTATTTAAGCCTGCTGACCTTGACAGCCTCTACTCGGACTGTCTCCTTCACTATCAAATAGCTCCCAAACTGATGCTTTAATTTATACACTTGTATGTAGCCCCAGTTAACTGTACAGTTACAGAACAAGGTAAGTAGAAAATTACCAATGTCAACAGACCAAAAGACTGGCACAGCAGGCAATGGGAAGGTTCCAACCAGTCTTAAAAAGTTAGAAGTATAAACAAACCTATATATCCCTAAGATACTATTCTCAATAAAACACAATTCATAAACTTTTGATATTATCACAATGCAAGATTTACCTGCAAGACCTCCAGTTGCGGCAGATATTCCAAAATGCCCTTGTGCAGGGATAATCATATTTTCCACTTTGGCACAAAATTCATAATCATTTTTATCTGGTGTAAAGCCATTATTGATCATTACCTAGAAAGGCATATCATAGCTATATAGCTTTTACAAAAGACATTAGAAAGTAAATTTCAATTGATCAGTTTTATGACATACTATTCAATTTTGTTTCACTATTATAAAGGGTAATTTTAAATAACCTTTCTTACTTGGTGTCATTATACAATATGATATTTTAGTTAAAAAATGAATTTTGCCCCACTATGTGTCAAAAGTTTAAAGAGAGAAAAATCTGATTACTTTCTATGAAAATCCTTCTAAAACAGAATATGGTTCAAGAAGACCTAGGGAACCACCATTACTCTCTTGGAATGGTTCATGCAATAGAGGGATCAGACTTGTTCTCAGTTCCCAGTCTAAAACCAAGAGGTTAAATTTACAATTCTATCTGCAGCTGGTCAGGAATTAAATCGATTGTCTCAACAAGTAGTGAGCTCTTCTTAATTAGTGAGGTAACTGGACTGTCACAGGTTAGCAGAGAGCAAAAGCGACACAAGTCATACTGTCAAGGCAGAGAAAGAAAACACTAAAAAGACGCATGTTTCTACCCTGCAGAATGTGTATTTGAAGGAATGACCCTAAATTTCTTAACAGGATCTTAGAATCCTAAGCAAGCACAGGAATCCACCTGATACATGAATGCTTTTCTCATTATCCCAGTCAAGCCGTGGTTCAGCCTCTTTAATACATTTCACTTTTAATAACCCTCTCACGAGTCCCACCCTAAACAACAGTCACTGAGATTCAGGGTGGATGCAAAAGGAGTGGGCCCAAGGCACCCCAGTAAGGGCACTTGTGTCATTACTTCTAGAGTCAAAGTTTTGTCAGAGACTTCACTCACATAGGCAAAATGTTATAGTATTCTGTCCAAATTTTTTTCAGCAGGAGAATTAAAATATCTGTCAATATGAAGAGTTGCTCTCTATATACTGTATGATGGAAACATGTGAACTAAAAATTAGTTTAAAATAACTAATTTTAAAAGATCATTTATCATTTGGTTCATAATACTTCTTTGCTCTGATTAGCAATATTCCTATTTCATTTTACATCATTTACAACTGGTCCTCCTCCACAGAGCCTTTTAAATTAGAATCAACAATCAAGTTATTTGCCTTTGAGTCTTAAAAAGACTGTAAGTTATTACATTCAAATTCCAATACTAAAATCCTCCAATTGCTCAGTATTTGCTTCCTTGAATTCTCATAAACTGAAAATCCATCAGGAGTCTTCATTGTCTAGTTCTAATTGGTTTTTTTAAGGGACGTAACACAGTTCATTGTCCTGTGAGTTAGCAGGAATGTTAGGAAGGACTGTAACTGAAAAGCCTACGTATAAACTGTCCGCCAATGAATGGTTCTTTATGAGATCTTCAATAACCTTCTTACTCACCTCATGGTTTCAACCCAGTGTTAAAGACCACACGTGCAATATTTAAGATCTCCTGCTTTGACTGTGCTTCCTCCACCAACAGCACTTGTTACTTCCAACCTCCTCTTACTTTGTTTTTCCCTCCAGGGTGGAAATAACTGAGACAAGCGGAACCCTTTTAGGGGAGTACATTTTGCAGGGCTACTGTTTTGGAGTTCTGCACCCACCATACTTGATGTCTCGGTTTTGCCACAAGCAGGTAAGCAAAACTTATTGATGACGCTAATGAAACTACAGGATGAATGATAATTACAGTGGAATTCAAACCCAAGTTAATCATAATAGACATGGTCACTTGCTCTATTCTAAGATCTCTAAATTAGCTTGGAATGAAGACTGAGCCTATATAGTTTTCCAAACAACTACCTTTCTCAGATTTTTAGACTCAAGAGTGAAAAGCTAGCTCATGATTTAGGTGAAAGAAAAATTCATACACTCTATTTTTTTACTCTTAAGTATTATATAACCAGGTATTGATGGCATCTTTAAAAAGCAAAGTTTACAATACCTAAGTTATCATAACTGCCAGCTGGATATATCCACCTATATATTACTCTACCATCAATTAACCTACAGCTAAACTCATTACCAACCCTCTGATTTCCCATTCCCCACCCAAACAGACAAACCACAAATGTGCTGCTTCTTTGCTAAACAGTACCAATTAACTGTCCAATTTGCTAGATTCAGGAACTATCCTTGACTCAACAACTGTGTTCACTCCCAATCCCAAGAAAACTGGTACGAAGAATACTGGGACCTAAATCATGTTTCTAAATTGCAAATCTGATCATTTCACTTCCTGCTTAAAACTCTTTAAATCTTTTTAAAAGTTCCTCATAGGATAAACTACAGGAAGCTGTGCAAGGCCTGTTACTGCCAACCTTTCAATCTTACTGCTCACTGATCTCTTCTGTCTCCCAGCCATATCAAACTACATGCCTTTCCAAAATATTTCACATTCTCTCAAGTCCCTATGTCTGCACTTGGAGTACACTCACTCACGTGCACACACACTCTCTTCCACCACCTACCCAGAACTTCCTGATCTCCCTGTAAGGCCTGGCTCAACTCTGAGAAACTGTTTCTGCCCTTCCCCACCCGCACCTGGCAGTTACAGAATTTTTTTTTTTTTTTGAGTTGGAGTCTCACTCTGTCACCCAGGCTGGAGTGCAGTGGCATGATCTTGGCTCACTGTAACATTTGCCTCCCGGGTTCAAGCGATTCTTCTGCCTCAGCATCCCGAGTAGCTGGGACTACAGGTGCATGCCACCACATCCAGCTAATTTTCGTATTTTTAGTAGAGACTGGTCTCGAACTTCTGACATCATGATTTGCCCGCCTCGGCCTCCTAAAGTGCTGGGATTACAGGCATGGGCCACCGCACCCGGCCCGGTTACAGGATTCTAATCCCAGGATCACTTAATAGTGTATCTGCACCATAGCATTTATCACACAGCATAGGAATGCTACATATGTATGTCCTCTGTTAGGCTATAAGCTCTCTGGGGAGAAAGGCTGTCTGTCTTACTCATATTTGTATCCTGAAGGGTTAGAGATTACAACATGTGATATACAGTAGGGTGCTTAAACATTTACTGACTAAATGAAAACCGACCATCAGGGGTTTACAAGAGATGACCGCTTACACTGAGCTTTGAAGCCACTTCTTGTTCTCTTAGGGTAACAGTGATGAGTATGTAGCAATAGCCAAATTTAAGTGCATTTAATTTCTATCAAAAATTCAAAATGAGAAGTCATACTAGAACATTATTTATTTGGTTCTCTCTAAATAAATGTTACTTACTGTTAATGTTTTCTGGTAATAGATAATCTTTGCCCGGACAGGATAGGGTTTATTACGAAAGTCCCTCTGGCAACTTGCTAAGGCTTGACTAGCACCATCACTACAGTAAAAGAGAAAGGAAAACAAGACACTCAGCTGTTCAATATTTAAAAATTCAGGAAGATTAAAATAATATCAAATTATGAGAAAGTCATGAGATATTTTATGTTATTTACTCAAAATACTACATGAGACTAAGGCAGTGAATCTCTACCCTAGGGCAGAACATGAAGCACTCACTGAGCTTTTAACACATAGATTCCACCCCAAATCAACTGAAGCAGAATCAAAAGGAGGGTCCTAGGCACCTCCATTTTAAATAGCTCCATAGAAGTTATGATGAATTACCAGGGCTGAAACTCACCAGGGTAGAAAACAGTAAACAGGCATATGAAAAAGTCATTTTTTTTACAGTTCACTTGCTGAAAGCTGTTTCCTCCACAATAAACACGTGAAAATAAAAAATGTACATACCTAATTTATATACATTATAAATATACAGTCATCCTTCAGCATCCACAGGGCATTGGTTCCAGGACCCCTGCAGACACCAAAATCCTCAGATGCTGAAGTCCCTTATATAAAATGGCATAGTATTTGCATATAACATGTGCACATCCTCGTGTATACTTTAAATATCTCTAGACTACTTATCATACCTAATATAAGTGCTCTGTAGTTGTTTAACTGTATTTTTAAATTTACATTATTGTTGTGTACACAAAATAATTTGTATTATTTTTGATCTGCAGTTGGTTGAATCCACAGATATGGAACCCAAGAATACAGAGAGTTAACTGGAATGAACACACAGAATCTCTGCAGACCACTGAGTGCTTTAAATAATGCAATACTAAAGTTAAATAAGATGGCATAAATTACTTTATCATTAGGTTTGTCAAGGCTCAACTTTATTTTTTAAAGATCCCTTTTAATGACGATTAAAATGCATGACTAGTGTTATCACTGAGAGCCAGGAACAATCTATACACTTTCAAAACTACAATATTTAATAATCTGAGGTTAAATAAAAACATACTCCATTTGAATCTGAGATGGTCCAAAGATAGAACTTTAGAACAGAACCAAATAAAATACAACCTTTCTACCAAGCTACAAAATGTCTCAAGAATAATATATTTTCATTTGGAAAGTATTCAGATTTGAAACAATATATTTCATAAGTATTCCAAAGAGAAGCTGAAATCAAGAGTAACGTAAAAAATACACACGTACTTTTGATGGTCATAATGGATTTGTCCATTGTTGCCTATAATTACTACAGCAGGATTATTTTTCTAAAAATAAAGAAAACATATTTTTGAAAATGTCTTTAATCAAACAATTCTACATCATTCTTGATGTACCATGAAGTGTCTTACATATCTAAGATTCTAGGACTCTAAATCTTTTAACAACCTGGCCTTCAGACTCAAGGAATTACTAAAGTTCTCCTTTAAATTACTAATAATAACCCCTGAAAATTAATAGAGAAACAACCAGCTGATGAGAAGATCATCAACCTTAAGGCTGCTAAGCCACAAGCTAATGTTTCCAATATGTAAGTACATTTTTATTTTAACTGCTTCAGGAGAGATCATCAAAAAATTGGCCCAATCAAAAAGAATGATTAACATATGACCAGATATGAGTATGTGAGCTGGCAATAGTCATGCACTTGGATGTTCTTATGTAAGCAAACTGTTAAGAGTCTTCTAAAACTACTACTTTTACCACCTACATCTACAGATTCGTATTTATCCATTAAGTTGGACCATGGGAGCAGAAGTCAACGCAAAGCTCTGAGAGTCAGGACTCCACTATGGCCTTAAGTTGATGTATAAAAAATCATGTACATGTAAATTAAACTGATACATTCCAGCTATATAAAGACTAATGAACATATTTACCATATAGCTTGGGGAGTTCTGTGCTATCGAACTGATGAAAGCATTAAATAAGCTGTATTTCTCACAGCCTAACTCTGCTAGTAGATATATTAAGGTGGGTAACAGTCTTGACAATAAATATACCTTTCCATCATTGTCAAAAGAATCAAAAAATATTCCAACACCATTCCACATATCAGCTGATCCAAACACAGGGCCCTCCAAGCCTTGATTTTCTGTATACCAAATTGCCTGAAAATATATAATAGGGAACAGTTAGAGGCTAATGGTATACATGCATTTACATACATTTTCTAAGTTAAAGAAATGATCATACTAGTCCATCAGCTCCAATTCGACCTCTTCCAGTCACTCGAAATGTCACCTCAACTTCCCAGTTCTCAAAGGCTGCTTTTGTCTTTGTCCACACTGAGCCTCTTTGGCTTTTTAAAGATGGTGCTACTCGAATTTGATCTGAACTTGGAATAGCATCTAGAACAGAAATTAGGAAGAAAAGCTTTAAGTTATAATTAGGTAAAACTCAGTGAATCATTTCCAAACTGCTAAATATACCTACAGAGACTTAGTAACCTGTACAACAATTATTAGGAAAAAATTTCATGTTGACAGTTTCAACTTTAAAAGTTTAGGGCTAACACATCCCTTATCAAATTAAAAAAAAAAAAAGCTACATTCATACACTAAAAATTCCAGGGACAGTGGGCAAGAGAAAGGGAATTATGACTTTAAGGCAAACTATCTGATTCTCACAATATTCTTTTTAAAACCTTAAAAATTGGCACTTAAAAAAAAAAACTGCAATGTATTTTGCCAGTTTACAAGGTTAGAAAGCTCAAACAGTGTGAAAAGAACATACCACTAGGAATCAAGAGACTTGTTCCTAGTCTCAGTTCAGCTGTGTGACTTTGAGCAAATAATTCTCTTACTCTCTTGGGTTCACCACATGTTCACCTGTAAAATGAAGGATCACTTCCATAAACACCCTAAAACTTATATGCAAAATATTGTACTTATATACATTCTTCCATGGAGAGGGTCAACTGAACTTCAATAAGCAATTCTTCAGCAGATTCTTGGAGAAAATAGTGATCCTCAAAACAGTGGTTTTCATCTCCAGGCCAGGTGCAAGCCCCAGCTCTACTACTTACTAGCTGTTTGATCTGTAGGCAGGTTACTCCATTTCTCCAACAGCCTCATAGGTATTTAAGTGCCTATATAAGTAGCTTTAAATGTTTCAATAAATGTTAGCTATTTCTCCTAGTATTAGACTAGGTAATTATTAAAGGCCTATCAAACTTAAAAAGTGAACAATTCTAGCTCTCAGATATTAACTAGTTCTGACACCCATGCTGGGAAATACAACTGTAACTGTAATATCACTTTACAGGTAGAAAAAAACTGACAAAAAGGAAAGCTGAGATATTTTAGTAGGATCAGTCACTGTCACTGCTACTTTCAAACATTCAAAGGATGGGGTGGGGGCATCATGGAAAGAGACTGGACACAGAATCAGAAGACCTAGATTTGAGTTCAATTTCACTGACACTAGTTATGTATCCTTTTTCAAAAATCTTAACCTTTCTGACCATCGGTTTTTTATCTATAAAACAGATAACACCTGCCTTGTCTACTAAGGATCAAATCAGAGAAAGAAAGTGAAAGAAATTTGAGAGCTATAAAGGGCTACAAACTATCATTTTTTGCCCTGAGGGACCTAAAGATGGGCACTAAAGGAACATTAGAGTTAAGAAAGAGAAACACCATAGATTTGGTCTCAATTTGGAGTTGAAGGTAAAGGGCTGTGTTTAAACAAGATCTTAGATTTCTCTATTTTAAGTTTTTCAAAGTAATGAATTGCAGGACAAAACGAAAAGGAAAAAACGATCAATGTAGTTACAGTGAGGCTTATATAAAAACTACAGTGACAATGAAAGCAAGGAATATCCACAGCAGGGATTCCCAGAGCAAGCAGCCAGATAAATCATGGCGAAAAGACTAATAACTTTGCTTCAAATTCATTATAGTCACACAGCTTTAATTTACTAAGGTACATTATCCTGACATTTCTCTAGCGGACTACATTAGTTGGTTAAGGCTCTGTTAACGAAGTCAAGGTAACTGATTGGACTAGTTGATTAACATTCCTAACTGGCTGTTGTAGTGTACGTGAGTGTGAGAAAAAGAGAAAAGAGAAGACCACGCAGGCAATAGAGAGGTGTAGAAGTGAAAAACCGAACAAATCCAACACCACTACTGAATAATCATCCTCATTCCAAAAAATAGAAACAAAAACTCCAAAAACGTGTGTTTGATATCATTTGCATCACCTTCTGAATCAAGAACAGAGTTACCTTGAGAACAAATGCCCAGTAATATACCCTTGTTGCATGGGCACATAATAAATGACTGCTGAGTAACAAAATAACTGCACTCTACTTCAACTACTTAATTGCTTGGTCATTAAGTCAAATTGAAATCTAGACCTTTGAATTACACATTAATTTGAGAAAAGCAGCCCTTCCTAAAAGAGTGCTTCCTATTCAGTAATTGCTTTCTAGAAATGGAACATTTTGTTTCAAGCACAGGACAATCTAAAATGATTTATAAAAACCTTACATAAAAGATTGCTTAATCACACATAAAGACAGAATTCAAACTGCCAGAGCTCCTCATCTCATATTAAGGCATTTGCCACTTGTTCTAAGGGCATATCTGATGGTCATTGAACAGAGCTTATATCATGCCAAGTGCTACGACTGACTCCTTAGTCAGCAATGACACATCAGCACTAAAAAGTGCAGATATGTTTTCTTTCATGTAAATGCTCTAGCAGGACTCTCTTATCTACAAGAGTGCCAAACACAGAGAGTGAATAAAATATGAAGCAGAGATTATGTCAATGTTTCCAATTTTTTTAAAGGGCTAAAAATGTAATGCTATTCTTAGTCTCAGGTTCAGAAACAATCCCCCAAAATATATGCCTTTTCCTAAAAAGTTACATAATGTTACTACAAGAGAAAAGATCAAAGACCACACCAAGTCACCGAGAGGAAAATGTAAGGTGTAGTTCCAACAGTATAAGAATGTCTTCTGACATACAAACTTAAAAATTACTCTAATACCAATGTATGCCATCTCTGGAGACATCAGTGGGCATCGGGTTCAAATGAAGCACTGACCATTGCTAACACTGGAGAAAAGAAAGCGGGGGTCGCCGGGGAAGCCGGAAAGGAAGTAAGGGGGCTTCTAGAACATGTCTCAGGCTGGGATGGCTGGGAGTAGGGGACACTTCTAGAGACGTAGCGTTAGGGTGAAACATGATACCTAGAAGCAAGTTTGAGTGCTAGGAAGCGCAGGAGGTAACAAAACACCTCTCGATCAAATGGAAAGTACCAACGAGATCAAAGAAGGGAAGACAGCAGGCGGGTGAGAGAACAGAATGGGTGAGGGGAAGACTTGGGCAAAAGCTGAGGGAACCGTGCAATCCAGGAAGGACCCGGAGGAGGGGCTGCCAAGAGGGTTCCCTCCACAGCGCATATGGTGTGCAACGGCTGGAAGTGGACCTCAGCACACCAGGGTAGCCGCAGATGAAGGGTGAATAGGCGGCGGAAGGCGGGGAGGAACCCGTCCCCAGCCCTCTGCCCGGGCTTACTCCCCGCGTGGGCCCAGAAGGGCACGGTCCCGTCGCTCTGCACCAGGTGCGGCCCCTTGAAGCTGTATTTGTACTCGAAACGGCGATGTGGCAGCGTGGCCGCGGTGCCAGCGGCAGCGGGGTCTCCTCCCACGCCGTCGCCCCCAACCAAGCGACTGAGTGACAGCAGCAACGCGCAGAACAGAGGCCGAACTCTGGCCTGGAGACCCCTCCGCCTGGATCCCGCCATCTTGGATTCTGGGACGCGGAGGAGGGCGGGAGAGGGAGGTGCGCGGATGGCTGCGGATGGCCAACAGGGCGCTCGCTGATTGGTGGAGCCCGGGGGGGACCCCAAAGGCAAGGGTGAGCCCCACCCCCGGCCTCCGCCCTCCGTGCGGCGGCCGGGCTGGGAGCAACTGTGAGCAGGGACATGCGCAGGGGGCGGGTCTCGCGGCGGTGCAGCCCTCAGGGCCCGCCTACCCTCTCCGGGGGCGGGGAAAGGACTCCAACCTTCCTTTCCCGCGGCGCGCGAGGCGCAGATGGTCCCTATCTGCAGGGAGCTTTCTACGGCTTATTAGAATACTTGGGAGCAGGAACTGGCGAGCCCTAAGACCTGTGGACCCAGCTTGTAAAAAATCTTTCCAGTATTAGAAGACAGGCGTTCCTTTTGATGTGACATCAGTTTTTCAGTGGCACAATCCTGAATGCTTATGGTCTCAGCCCAGTGAGCTCCACCAACCCGTGTTAAAGCATTTCAAACTAGGAACCGGCACCCACGGGCTTGCAGGATGCCTTAGGATTTATGAGTTGGTGTCGGAGAGAGGGTTTCTGTGAATTTGTCAGCCATCCTTCACATCTCAAATTTTAATTCCAAGAGCTTTCCAAATTTTGAAACCATGGCAATAGTGCATTCAGATGAAACAGTTTGGTTTGGTTTTTGTGAAAGAAACAATGTGCTGTGGACGCAGGCGTCCATAGAACCTGGACATTTGAGATAGAATCAGTCTTCCATTCAATAAATACATTCTGTATTTTAAAGGGGACTCCTCTTTCCTACTTAGGAAAAAACAGTGTTGTGAATTGTGCTGCAAAAAACATACATGGAGCAGGAAAAAAAAAGAAAAAGTGTCAAAATATTTATGGTCATTCGGAGTTTTGTTTTTCTAACGTGTCATGATGAGTTTTGCAAGTCCAAGAATCAGCAGTATGATTTATATTGTTTTTACCATGGCTCTTTATTTCATTAGCTCTGTTCATGTAGGGTAAATGAACACACACTAGCTCTAGAGACTGAATACCCACATTACTTACACTTATTTTTCATTGACTTCCCAGTTTTCCATCTCCAGAGTCAAGGACTATTACTGTTAAATCTCTTTCTAGTGCTCAAATAAAACCTTCAAGTTGAATATGGATTTAAGTAAGGCTTTTCACCCGCCAGTCTAGACATGTAATTTAAATGCTGCTATCTCAGGAACAGCAGTAGCAAACAATTATCCACTGTATAGTATATGTGGGTCATTGCCCTGGGCTCTCCAGGGTTTTAAACCCAGAGGATTTAATCATTTTATTCGGTTCTCTCATTGCTGTGGCAACCATCTCTATGCCTTGCACAGAGTAAAGAATCTATAAGTATTTGTTAAACAATCATTAATGTTAATAAAATTGGCAAACATTTACCGAGTGCTTTCTGTGTCAGTAACAGCACTAAGCCTTCTACATATGTTAGCTTATTGATGCTGACAGCAGCCCTCTAAGGTAGATGCTGTTAGTATTTCCATTTACAGATGAGGAAACAGAGGCATAGAAAGATTACATCATTTGCCCAGTTTCACACAGCAAGTGGTAGAGATAGGTTTCAATTCCAGGCATTCTATCATTAAAGTCTTCAATCTTAAGAACCATTTTATGTTAAACATTATGTATATTAAATATTTTCAATTCATTACTTATGATTTGAACTCATGAGAGACCTGAATTTCAAGCATAAGTAATACAAGTAAATATTTGTAATTTTGCTGAACCATAAATGTAAATTATGTTCTGTGAAGCTGTTTCTTTAAAAAAAAAAACTTTGTTGAAGTATATTATATAAAGAAAACTATGCAAACCCTAGGAATATAACCCAATGAACTTTTCCCAAAATGAACACATTGCATGCAACCAGTATCCAAATTTTCTTTTCTGTATTTTTTTTTTAAAACACACATTTCTATTGGGTATATACCTAGGAGTAGAGTCACTGGGTAATAGTAGATCCTGCCAATTTTTCAGGGTGGTTTTGCTAATTTATACTCCCACCAGCAGCGTGTGAGGGCTTTAGCTGTCTGACTTGTTTTTTGTTAACTTGTAAAAACTCTTTATTCTGAATACCTGTCCCTGCTTAGATATATACATATGGTGAATATTTTCACCCACTTTGTGGGATGACATTTCACTCTCTTAATGTTGTCTTTTAATGAATACTTATAATTTTAATATAGCTCTATTTACTGTTTCCCCTGTATCATTAGGGATTTTTGTGTGTCATTGTTGGGAATCTTGCTTGTTGTTTTGTCTAAGTTGTTAAACTTTAAATTTTATAGCATTTTGGCTTCAGAACTGAGAGCTTTTAGGTTAGATAGGATCATTTTACAAATGGTGAAATTGAGAAATTGGGCCTGGTGAACTGAAGTTTCAAGAATCAGAATGGTTTCACTCTAGGCCCCAGAAACTCTGAGCCAGTGAATTTTAAAATCTGTATTTTTGAAGTAATCCATGAAGGGAAACTTCCTTACATTTAAGTGATATTTTACCTTCAGGGCAATACCATATTGCAGATTTGGTACAATGCAATGAGAAGGGATTTCCTACTGCCCTCCAGTGCCTGAGGCAATTTCCAAAAATTAAGCTCAGATTTTTAAGTTGGGAGGGGAATAAAAATTATGAGGGTCCCTCAACACACCACTGGGCCCTGAATAGAGCTGGAGAGATGGAGTGGCAGTGCCAGGGCTCGGTTTGGTAACTGATTCCTTACAACTATCTTCTGGCAGTATCTGTGACTCATTGCAGGCCTCTTCTGTGCTAGTAAAAAGTGTCCCAAATGCCAGAAGATTGACAGGCCCGTCCCATTTATAAAACCCATAGATGTCTCCTAGCACGTAGCACAGAATGGCATTTTGCTCTTGAAGCCCAAAAGCAGATTGGGAGATATCTTTTCTTTTTGCTCTTCCTATTCACAGGGAGCCCTATGGATTAATGGGTTGTTTTTTCATAACTGATAATCAATTTCAATTTTCTTTGATCCAGATACACTCCCCTCATCAATGGCACACGTAATTGTTGGCTGGAGTTGGAGTAAAATCCATGGTATGTGACCCACTCCAGTAGTCATATAATAGACCTCCGTTTTTGCTTAAGCTAGCTGGAAAGAATTTCACTTAGTTACAGCAAAAAATAGTGTTAAAACTAAGGTTACCATGCCAATTCATTGTTTGCATTAGTGGATTAACGATTGTTGGGGCCTCCTAATGACTTTGTATAAATTGTATTTGATAAGAGTAATGAAAATGGTATTGTCTGCCTGCTCTTTCAATGTGTGATCCTTCATTCATTCACGTGTTTGTTCTTATTCACAACGTCAGACCATTAAGTGTTAAAGCTACTATACTAGAGGCAAGGCAATAGGAATACAACTTGCTTGGAGAATTCAGATTTAACCTTGAACAGTTAGAAAATTGTTATATGCATTTTAATAAACGCAATACTTAAGGCTGCAAGAGAAACAAAAATGCCCCAATTCAAAGTGGCTGAAACGATAAAGAAATCTGTGATCTCACAGAACTGCAAGTTAGATTAGGACTGAGCCAGGAAGTTACAGCCGGGTTCTCTGCATCATTGAAATGTTCTGCTTCTACCTCACATTGACTTTGTCCTCAGGCTGGCTTCTCTCAGGGTTCTAAGATGGCAGACCTACTTTAGGTTCAGTGGGAGAGACAGAAAATCTCTTTCATCTTTGGATAAAATTTCTGCCTTTCATTCTGATTAGGTCAATTTCGGTTACACGTCCAACTTTGGACCAAGCACCGAATCCATTGCTGGTAAAGTGTATCAGATTACCAGCCTTAGTTAAGAACAGTGGTTCTCAAACTTTAATGTGATTCAGAATCACTTCTGGAGTTTGTTAAAACACAAATTTCTGAGACCAACATTTCTAGTTTTAAAAGGTTGAGAATAGGGTCTAATATTGCTAACAAACTCCAGGTCATACTAATGCTGCTTATCTGGAGACCGCACTCTGAGAGTCACTGGTTAGACAAATCCTGATCTACCCTAGGCCCTGAGGATGGAGTTAGCTTCCCCTGAGTCATAAGGGCTATGTGTGTGTGGTAGGGAGTGAACATATGAACTCAACTGGGACTCAGTTCGGAAGGAGGAAGACAGAAATGAAAGATTGGAAGATAACCAACAGCATGTCCTGCACAGTTAATCAACAACATGATCATGTCTTACAGATTATCTATTGGGATTATAAAATGCAGTTGTGATCCAAGTTAGAAGAATATAATAATTATATGATAAGAACAAAGACTTTTCAGTTCAAGGTTATGCCATAGTTCAAATAATCCATTTTCAACCAACAGGATACAATACATAAGGTTTCTAAGGAAGATGAACACAGAGGTGTATTGAACCACGATGTAGAACAGCCACCCCACTCATCTCTTCTCGTGATTTCATGGAGTCATGATTTTCTCTTCAAGTACCGTGCATAAAACTGCAAGGCAGAGTTACGAGGTGGTGAGTTTAAATTCTTTTGTGATGAGTTTAATTATAGTCCCATTTCTAATTTTTACCAATACAATTTAAAATATATTACAATCACAAATGCAAAATATGCTAACATAAAAATTAAAATAGCAGAGAACTGTATAAAGTAAAAACAACTCTCTCCCCTCTTCAACTCCAACCTCACCTCCTGGATTCAACCAATGATTAGTAGTGTGAATATACAACGTTCCAGAGAATTTCTGTCCTGTGCATTTTCAAATACATATACTCCAATGTTTAAAAATAGGATCGGATGATATAAATTTATGGCATATACATAGTTCATTCCGTAACATAAAGTGGTCATCTTCTATAAGGTTAGCATAAATCTAGCCAGTACCACCAGTAGAATTGTGTCCTGAGCAGGGGTGCTTGTCCAAGGCGACAAGAGGAGGTGGAAATCAGTCCTCGGTCTGTGATTCTGCCAGGCTACCTCCATCGGGAGAAAGTGCCTTTTTAGACAGATGCCATGTTAGCAGTCCTAGAAGTGCTTAACTCTTTTTAGTACTTCATTGTACAAAACGTATCATCATCATCATTTAATCTCATACAAGCATTTGAATTGTTTTCAAGTTTTTTGCTATTATGAATAACACTTCAAAAATACCTTTAATCACTTGGGACAAAGAAAGTGGGAACTGATAATCAATTATTAAAAAAACAACCCGCCGGGTGTGGTGGCTGACACCTGTAATCTTAGCACTTTGGGAGGCCGAGGTGGGTGGATCACCTGAGGTCAGGAGTTCAAGACCAGCCTGGCAATCATGGTGAAACCCCATCTTCTTTTAAATAAAAATAAAAATAAAAAAAAAAAACAAAACAAACAACCCGTTGATCCTCAGCGCTCCCTCAGCAAGCAGGTATTACAAAGAAAAGGTGTCTCCCAATCTCCCAATCTGCTCCTTGTTTTTCTGCTCTCCCGACAGTATCAGCATGTGCTATGAGATGTCTATTTGTTTTAGAAATAAGACAGTTCTATTAATCTTCTGGCATCCTAGACACCTTTTGCTAGCATAGAAAAGAGGAGCATAGAGTTAATCATATTACCAGAAATTTTACAAGATTTGATCCCAACCAAGCTGTCATTTTTCTGACTGTCTTTCTGCCTCTTAAAACACTTCTGGATGGGCATGGTGGCTCACACCTGTAATCCCAGCACTTTGGGAGGCTGAGGCAAGCAGATCGCTTGAGCTCAGGACTTCAAGACCAGCCTGGGCAACACAACAAAACCTCATCTCTACTAAAAATACAAAAAATTAGCTGGGCGTGGAGGTGCATGCCTGTAGTCCCAGCTACTCTAGAAGCTGAGGTAGGAGGATGGCTTGAGCCCAGGAGATGGAGGTTGTAATGGGCCAAGATTGGGCCACTGCACTCCAGCCTGGGTGATAGAGCCAAACCTTGTCTCAAAACAAAACAAAACTAAACAAATGAAAACTTTGTAAGCATCAAAGACACACTTTTCAGTAGGGCATCACCTAAATGCTGAAGGCAAGACTCCTGTTCTTGTTTTTTTAAATTTTATAATGGTTTCAATTTAAATTTTATAATGGTTACAGAGATATTGAAACACAATCCCATTTCAAAAATCTTAGCAGCTTTCCATATTAACTTCAGATATTTAAAAGTAAAGATATTAATACACTGAACCCAGTTGAAGCCCCTTGGCAGGGTTCAATTAAAAATGGCTACAAAGAAAGAGCATAATCTCATTGTGAATATTTACCATGTGTCATATGGTAAAAAAACTGGGCATTGTTGACAGGTAAGAGTCAGGGAGTCTACCAGTTTTTATTATCTGTTGCTTTAGACACCCAGGACCCTAAAGCATTCTTCCTCACTCCATGAAAGGCCAGAAACCTAATCCATGCTGAGCTGTTAATGACCTAATATGTTTTTTCTCCTCTGAGATCTGAGTTCCTATATAACATTTCATTCATAGAGCTGGGATCCAAGCATCCCTGAGGTCTACGCAACATTTCCTTTTTTAACTTTAAGTTCCGGGATACACATACAGAACGTGCAGGTTTGTTACATAGGTATACATGCACCACGGCGGTTTGCTGCACTTACCAACCTGTTGTCTTGGTTTTAAGCACCACATGCATTAGGTATTTGTCCTAATGTTCTCCTTCCCCTTGTCCCCAGCCCTCCGACAGGCCCGAGTGTGTGATGGTCCCCTTTCTGTGTCCATGTGTTCTCATGGTTCAATTCCCACTTACGAGTGAGAACATGCAGTGTTTGGTTTTCTGTTCTTGTGTCAGTTTGCTGAGAATGATGATTTCCAGCTTCATCCACGTCCCTGCAAAGGACGTGAACTCATTCTTTTTATGGCTGCATAGTATTCCATGGTGTATATGTGCCACATGTTCTTTATCCAGTCTATCATTGATGGGCATTTGGGTTGGTTCCAAGCCTTTGCTATTATACATAGTGCTGCAATAAACATTTTGGGTACATGTGTTGTTATGGTAGAATGATTTATAATCCTTTGGGTATATACCCAGTAATGAGATTGCTGGGTCAAATGGTACTTCTGGTTCTAGATCCTTGAGGAATCGCCACAGTCTTCCACAATGGCTGAACTAATTTACACTCCCACCAACAGTGTAAAAGTGTTCCTATTTCTCCACAGCCTTGCCAGCATTGTTGTTCCCTGGCTTTTTAGTGGTTGCCATTCTAACTGGTGTGATGTGGTATCTCATTGTGGGTTTGACTTGCATTTCTCTAATGACCACCGACGAGGTTTTTTTCATATGTTTGTTGGCCATATAATTGTCTTCTTTTGAGAAGTATCTGTTCATATTCTTCACGCATTTTTTGATGGGGCTGTTTCTTTTCTTGTAAATTTGTTTAAGTCCTTGTAGATTCTGGATATTAGACCTTTCTCAGATGGATAGATTGTAAAAATTTTCTCCCATTCTATAGGTTGCCTATTCACTCTGATGAGATTTTCCTTTGCAGAACCTCTTTAGTTTAATTAGATCCCATTTGTCAATTTTGGCTTTTGTTGTCATTGCTTTTGGTGTTTTAGTCATGAAGTCTTTGCCCATGCCTATGTCCTGAATGGTACCGCCTAGGTTTTCTTCTAGGGTTTTTATGGTTTTAAGTCTTACATTTAAGTCTTTAATCCATCTCGAGTTAATTTTTGTATAAGGTGTAAGGAAGGGGTCCAGTTTCTGTTTTCTGCATGTAGCTAGCCAGCTTTTCCAGTAACATTTATTAAATAGGGAATCCTTTCCTCATTGCTTGTTTTTGTCAGGTTTGTTGAAGATCAGATGGTTGTAGTTGTAGATGTGTGGTGTTATTTCTAAGGCCTCTGTTTCTGTTTAGTTGGTCTATATATCTGTTTTGGTACCAATACCATGCTGTTTGGGTTACTGTAGCCTTGAAGTATAGCTTGAAGTCAGGTAGTGTGCTGCCTCCAGCTTTGTTCTTTTTGCTTAGGATTGTCTTGGCTATACGGACTTTTTTCGTTCCATATGAAATTTAAAGTAGTTTTTTCTAATTCTGTGAAGAAAGTCAATGGTAGCTTGATGGGAATAGCATTGAATCTATAAATTACTTTGGGCAGTATGGGCCTTTTCATGATATTGATTCTTCCTATCCATGAGCATGGAATGTTTTTCCGCTTGTTTGTGTCCTCTCTTATTTCCTTGAGCAGTGGTTTGTAGTTCTCTTTGAAGAGATCCTTCACATCCCTTGTAAGTTGTATTCCTAGGTACATTGTATTCTCTTTGCAGCAATTGTGAATGGGAGTTCATTCATGATTTGGCTCTCTGCTTCTCTATTATTGGTGTATAGAAATGCTTGTGATTTTTGCACTTTGATTTTGTATCCTGAGACTTTTTGCTGAAGTTGTTTATTAGCTTAAGGAGATTTTGGGCTGAGATGATGGGATTGTCTAAATATACAATCATGTCATCTGCAAACAGAGACAATTTGACTTCCTCTCTTCCTATTTGCATACCCTTTATTTCTTTCTCTTTCCTGATTGCCCTGGCCAGAACTTCCAACACTATGCTGAATAGGAGTGGTGAGAGAAGGCATCCTTGTCTTGTGCCGGTTTTTAAAGGAATGCTTTCAGCTTTTTCCCACTCAGTATGATATTGGCTATGGATTTGTCATAAATAGCTATTACTATTTTGAGATGTGTTCCATCAATACCTAGTTTATTGTGAGTTTTTAGTATGAAGGGGTGTTGAATTTTATTGAAGGCCTTTTCTGCATCTATTGGGATAATCATGTGGTTTTGTCATTAATTCTATTTACGTGATGGATTACATTTATTGATTTGCATAGGTTGAACCAGCCTTGCATCCCAGGGATGAAGCTGACTTGATTGTGGTGGATAAGCTTTTTGATGTGCTGCTGGATTCGGTTAGCCGTATTTTATTAAGGATTTTCACCATGATGTTCTTCAGGGATATTGGCCCAAAATTTTCTATTTTTGTTGTGTCTCTGCCAGGTCATGGTATCAGGACGATCCTGGCCTCATTAAATAAGTTATGGAGGAGTCGCTCTTTTTCTGTTGCTTGAAATAGTTTCAGAAGGAATGGTACCAGCTCCTCTTTCTACCTGTGGTAGAATTTGGCTGTGAATCCATCTGGTCCTGGGCTTTTTTTGGTTGGTAGGCTATTAATTACTGCCTCAATTTCAATACTTATTCGTTTATTCAGGGATTTGACTTCTTCCTGGTTTAGTCTTGGGAGGGTGTATATGTACAGGATTGTACCCATTTCTTCTAAATTTTCTAGTCTGATGGTAGTTTGTATTTCTGTGAGATCAGTGGTGATATCCTCTTTATCATTTTTTTATTGTGTCTATTTGATTCTTCTTTCTTTTCTTCTTTATTGTCTGGCTAGCAGTCTGTCTATCAATCTTTTTAAAAAACAAGCTCCTCAATTCATTGATTTTTTGGAAGGGTCTTTCCTGTCTCTTTCAGTTCTGCTCTTATCTTAGTTATTTCTTGTCTTCTGCCAGCTTTCAATTTTGTTTGCTCTTGCTTCTCTAGTTCTTTTCATTGTGATTTAAGGTGTCAATTTCAGATCTTTCCTGCTTTCTGACATGGCATTTAGTGCTATAGATTTCCCTCTAAACACTGCTTTACCTGTGTCCCAGATATTCTGGTATGTTGTCTCTTCTTTCTTATTGGTTTCAAATAACTTCGTTATTTCTGCCTTAATTTTGTTATTTGCCCAGTAGTCATTCAGGATCAGGTTGTTCAGTTTCCATGTAGTTGTGTGGTTTTGGATGAGTTTTTTAATCCTGAGTTCTAATTTGATTGCACTGTCGTCTGAGAGACTGTCTGTTATGATTTCCATTCTTTTGCATTTGCTGAGGTTCTTTGGTCCATTTTAGAGTAAGTGCTATGTGGTTCTGAGAAGTGTGTGTATTCTGTGGATTTGGGGTGGAGAGTTCTGTAGATGTCTATTAGGTCTGCTTGGGCCAGAGCTGATTTCAAGTCCAAGATATCCTTGTTAATTTTCTGTCTTGTTGATCGGTCTAATATTGACAGTGGGGTGTTAAAGGCTCCCATTATTATTGTGTGGGAGTCTAAGTCTCTTTGTAGGTCTCTAAGAACTCATTTTATGAATCTGGGTGCTCCTGCATTGGGTGCATATATAGAATAGTTAGCTCTTCTTGTGGTGTTGATCCCTTTACCATTATGTAATGCCCTTCTTTGTCTTTTTTTATCTCTGTTGGTTTAAAGTATGTTTTATCAAAGACTAGGATTGCAACCCCTGCTTTTTTTTTTAATTTCCATTTGCTTGGTAAATATTCTTCCATTCCTTTATTCTGAGCCATGTGTGTCTTTACACATGAGATGGGTCTCCTGAATACAGCATCCCAATGGGTCTTGACTCTCTATCCAGTTTGCCACTCTGTGTCTTTTAATTGGGGAATTTAGCCCATTTACATTTAAGGTTAATATTGTTGGGTGTGAATTTGATCCTGTCATTGTGATGCTAGCTGGTTATTTTACACATTAGTTGATGCAGTTTCTTCATTGTGTCATTGGCCTTTATAGTTTGGTGTGTTTTTGAAGTGGCTGGTACCAGTTTTTCCTTTCCATATTTAGTGCTCCCTTCAAGAGCTCTTGTAAGGCAGGCCTGTTGGTGACAAAAGCCCTAAGCATTTGCTTGTCTGTAAAGGATTTTAATTCTCCTTTGCTTATGAAGCTTAGTTTTGATGGATATGAAATTATGGGTTGCAAATTGTTTTCTTTAAGAGTGTTGAATATTGGCCCCCACACTCTTCTGGCTTGTAGCATTTCTGCAGAGAGATCTTCTGTTAGTCTGATGGGCTTCCCTTTGTAGGTAACCTGACCTTTCTCTCTGGCTGCCATTAACATTTTTTCCTTCATTCCAACCTTAGAGAATCTGACAATTATGTATCTTAGGGTTGCTCTTCTCAAGGAGTAACTTAGTGGTGTTCTCTGTATTTACTGAATTTGACTGTTAGCCTATCTTGCTAGACTGGGGAAGTTCTACTGGATAATATCTTGAAGTGTGCTTTCAACTTGGTTCCATTCTCCCTGTTACTTTCAGGTATATCAATCAGTCATAGGTTTGGTCTTTTCACATAATCCCATATTTCTTGGAGGCTTTGTTCATTCCTTTTCATTTTTTTTCCTTTAATTTTGTCTTCACACTTTATTTCAGTAAGTTGATCTTCAATCTCTGATATCCTTTCTTCTGCTGGATCAATTTGGCTATTGATACTTGTGTATGCTTCACAATGTTCTCATGCTGTGTTTTTTCAGCTCCACCAGGTCATTTACGTTTTCTCTAAACTGGTTATTCCAGTTAGCAGTTCCTGTAACATTTTATCAAGGTTTATAGCTTCCTTGCATTGGGCTGGAACATGCTCCTTTAGCTCAGAGGAGTTTGTTATTACCCACCTTCTGAAGCCTATTTCTGTCAATTTGTCAAACTCATTCTCCATCCAGTTTTGTGCCCTTGCGTTTGGAGGAGAAAAGGCCTTCTGGTTTTTGGATTTTTCAGCATTTTTCTGCTGGTTTTTCTTCATCTTAGTGGATTTATCTACCTTTGATCTTTGAGGCTGATGACCTCTGAATGGGGTTTTTGTGTGTGGGTCCTTTTTGTTGATGATGATGTTATTGCTTTCTGTTTGTTAGTTTTGTCAGGCCCCTCTTCTGCAGGTCTGCTGCAGTTTGCTGGAGGTCCACTCCAGACCCTGTTTGCCTGGGTATCACCAGCAGATGCTGCAGAACAGCAAAGATTGCTGCCTGCTCCTTCCCCTGGAAGCTTCATCCCAGAGTGGCACCTGTTAGGTGCCAGCCAGAGCTCTCCTGTATGAGGTGTCTGTTGACCCCTGCTGGGAGGTCTCTCCCAATCAGGAGGCAAAGGGGTCAGGGATCCACTTGAGGAGGCAGTCTGTCCCTTAGCAGGGCTCAAGTGCTGTGCCGGGAGAATCCTCTTTGTCAGGATCCTCTGCTGTCTTTCGAGCTGGCAGGCAGGAATGTTTAAGTCCACTGAAGCTGTGCCCACAGCTGCCCCCTCCCCCAAGTGCTCTGTCCCAGGTAGATGGGAGTTTTTTCTATAAGTCCCTGAGTGGGGCTGCTGCCTTTCTTTCAGAGATGCCCTGCCTAGTGAGGAGGAATCTAGAGAGGCAGACTGGCTGCAGCTGCTTTGCCACACTGTGGTGATGTCTACCCAGTGAGAACTTCCCGGCCTCCTTAGCACTGTCAGGGAAAAAGTTCTACTCATGCCTCAGTAATGGTGGACACCCCTCCCCCACCAAGTCTTAGGTTGTCTTCAGACTGCTGTGCTGGCAGCAAAAATTTCAATCCAGTGGTTCTTAGCTTGCTGGGCTCCATGGGAGTGGGTCCTGCTGAGCGAGACCACTTGGCTCCCTGGCTTCAGCCCCATTTCCAGGGGAGTGGACAGTTCTGTCTTGCTGGGGTTCCAGATGCCACTGAGTTGGAAATGCAGAAATAACCCACCTTTGGCACTGGTCTCACTAGGAGCTGCAGACCGCAGCTGTTCCTATTTGGCCATCTTGCTAGATCTCTTATGCAACATTTCTTACTTTGAGGAGTTTTCCTGATCTGACAGCATCCTCCTCTGTTTTAAACAAAGTTCCAATGGGAATGATTAAGTCCTATATCAATTTGGGTGATTTTAGTGGCAATATAGAGAACCCAAATCAAATTGATCGAGCAATAAAGCGTATTGGCTCATATAAGTAAGAAAGACTTAAGGTGGGCTCGGCTTCAGGTACAGCTGGATTAGGGTGTCAGCCTCTGCTTTCCTCCATGTGTCAGTTTCATCTTCAGATGCACTCTGATGATAGCAAAATGACTGCAGCACTTCCAGACTTCACATCTCTACATTACACCATATAACCAAGAGAGCAGTTTGACTTATGACTCCCTAAAAAGTTCTGAAGTTCACTGTTCATGGACTGCTCAGCTCACATGTCTTTCCCTAAAATAATCACGAAGGCAGAGGAATAGAATGTGATGACTGACTTGGCCAAGGTCACTTGCTCTTCTCTTTGTACAAGGTTAATGATAGCTTTTCTTAACTTCATGGATCTTCAAACACAAACTGAGGGACTACTGGGAAGGAGGATGAGATGGCCTGCCTTAGGCCCAATAATGCCTTGAGAAATAGAAAAGGAAAGCAGGTAACTTAAGTATAGCAAGACTTGTTTTCTATGTTGGTATGTAAATCCTTGAGAACTGGAGTAGTCCCTCCCCAGCCTGAAGCTCTGGGACTCTCTGCCCTAGTGCGACCCTCTGGCTAGTGCCATCTTTGTTCCCAAAGGGTTGTACAGACTGCTGATCTTCAAGTATATGGGCATAAGGAACTTGGGGAACTTGGAAGCTGCATTCATTCATTGGAGAATTCATTCATTCATAGGAATGTCCTGTATTCTCGGTACAACCTGTTTGTTGGGCTGGTAGTGAAAGCAACATCAGCAAAGTCCAAGTGTTCATGCTCACCCATCTCTAACCAGCTCACCCTTTGTGGCCTGGACTCACTCTGCAGGGGAGGTAACTACGAACAGCCACTACAATGACACAGTCTCAGTGTAGTCCTTTCAAAAGGAAAATTTTGATTCCTTACAGAAACACTCTCTGTTATGAAAATCATTCCTTATCTTTACTGCTCATGTGCTGAATGAGATAAGTAGTTTAAAATTTCAGCACTAAGTTCAGGTAAAGAAAGCATTTCCTATTAAAAAAACGTTGGCAAAATATTGGAATGGATTACTAAAGGAGCTTGTAGACCGTCCTTCTCTGGGGAAAAGTAAAAAACAGAAGACCTTGTTGACAATGATAGTCTATTGATATATGGAAAAAATATACCTGATTCCTAGGGCTGTCAGTTATATTGTGCTTTACTTTAGTGTATTCTGCTCACAAAAGAGCAATTATCTTTCTATTGATCTTTGATAGCATGAAAGTTTTCCATTTGACACGCTGTGGTGTGTATTTCACTTAACTTTTACTGAGCCTTTACCATGAGCCAACCTAGGGGCTTTGGCTGCACAGACTTGGTTTCTGTTTGAAGGACACAGTCTAGTAGATGTAGACAGGTATGCAAACCAAAGCATGCCAAAGGTGCTGTTGGTGCCCCAGTGACAGTGCTTCTCAGGGTAGTGTCCTTGGACAACACTGATTCAGACCACATGGGATTGCTTATCACGTGGGGTTCAGACCCACTGAATCATCTTGGAGTAAAGCAAGGTGTGTGGGATCTCATCAACAAGCTCCCAGGCATAGCTTTGCACCCTGAAATTTGGAAATTGGTACAGGGTATAGTGAGGGTATAAAAAGAAAGGGAATGATCAATGCCTCAATATCACCTTGGCAGGGGAGGTGATCAAACATTTTTTATCATAGAGGTGATATTTGAGTTGGGCTTTCAAAAGATGAGGGTGAGTTTTAAAGACAGACAGGGTCAGGAAGGGGCTTCCAGGCAGGGGAACAGCATGAGTAAAGGTCATGAGGCAGGAAGAGCATCATCTATTTCTTGGAAGGAGCATCACTCTCTACTTTGTTCCTGGGAAGGAGCTGAGTGGGGAACAGGAAGTGGGTGGCTTACAAACACAAGGCTATGCTTCTCATACATGTGACATGTTGACTGCAAGCTAGTGAGGCTCTGCTCCACATCTTCCTTATGGGACGCAAGTAATCAGAAGTAGCCAGATGAAGTGGGAAGGCTGCTTGGGCAGAAGAAAGAACATGGCGGAGCCCCACCATGACTGCGGAACTTGTGCTCAGAGGTAGCACATGTCATTTTTATTCAAAGTCTGTTGGCCCAAAGGGGTCACATGATATCAATGGGTCAGGGACATATAATCCAATCACAGGGAGGGGCAGCAAATATTTGGAGTGATTATACAATCTCCTATAGGTGGGAGTTAGTAGAAATCCCTGAATTAAAGGAAAGACATAAACTATCAAAAGAGTTGAACAAGGAGTTCAACAATCTTTTTGAAGTTAGGTTTTGAAGGTGTGATAATGGGATGTTTGTTTCATCAATTTTTTTATTGGTTGTATCTGCACGTATTAGCCAAAGCAGGCTAAGAAATACATATAAAGGTGTATCCCAGAGTGTGCTGCTTAGAACTCACTGCTTCTAGGAGATGTTACACGGTACTATGAGAATGGGAATTCTGTAAATAAATACTTTAGAAGACTTGAATTTTCATAAAGCACATTTAAGTGGTAAAAAAAGCTCATGGAACTTCTTCAGTGGCAACACTTAATTAAATTTTTAAAAAATTAACTTAGTTTTAATACATTTCCCTAGTTTATTTAATCACAGAATCTTTTTTGTATAACACTTATTAATAGGCTGCGGGACTTCTATCTTGAGAATCACACTTCAGAAAATGCTGAATGAAACTATTTTAAAACAATATCAGAGACAATCTCAGTTTTCCTTGGTAATCACTCCAAGAGTTACCAAACTTTCCTCTAAAAGAAATGTACTCTGATGCTAATTTAAGTATATTACAGGCAGAGTCAATTTTCTGGTGCTTCACATATGTAATGATAGATATGACCAAATGTAATAAAGCTGTTTTCATAGGATTTCTCTGTTAATTTCTACTTAGGTGACTACAGCTCAACAAAAAGGGGGCTGTGTGATACCTTATATGCCATAGCTGCCTCAATATTTTTAAAGGTGGCACACAGTTGAATATAATCACAAACACTCAAAGCTTTATAAGTGCTCAGTCAAGCCTCCTGATTGAATAGGTTTGTAGCAATCTGCCAACGACTCCTTCGGAAATCTGAATGAATGATTTGAGGTGTTGAATCACCGATGGCGTTTATTCCTAACACGAGTCCGTTCGGTTCCGTTTCCTAAACACTTTTTGAAAGGATGCCTGTGAGATTCCAGGCTACACACTATTGTTAATTTCATACTCTAATGTTGCGATCTATCCATAATATTTTAACTTTTAAGACAGCGTTTTCTTTTCTTAACTTCTGGAACCCTACTCAGTAGTTTCTTTACAGTCTAGATAACTAGACATCTTAAGTAAGGCTACATGTATGATTGTTAATGATAATTCTCATTCAATACCTACACTAGTTACATAGAACTTACTTCCAAAAAAGCATTTGAAAAGGCAGCTCATTAGGGGCAGTCTAAGTCCCCGTTTCTACTAATCTCCCTTTGAGGCCTATCAAATGTTAGGAGGACACTCTAGTGCTCAAACTCTTTTACCCAACATGTTTGCTTTCTGTTTTTTAATAGTTTCTTCAGTTCCACTGCCTGTCCCACATGGGTACATGAAGCCTTGTAATTGTGTAAATGCAGAGTAAAAACCTGTAATTTTGATACAAATATGTACTCAAATTTAAAGCAGCTAGTTATCAAAGACAGCAACATTCATTCTGGTGCAGATACAGGATCCTGCACCAGAATGAATCTGCTCAATATTGACATAGTGAATTGTCCTGAGAAGATTAAACCACAACTAGAAAAGCAGGCGGAGGGACAGTGAGTGACAGGGGCTTTATGGGGGGGCAGTGCCTCCCAGGGGGAGAGTTCATCTTCTTACTCAAAGAGACGCCTTCAGGGATCATGTAACTTGAATTCCCTGTGAATTCAGTGTCATCTTAGCTTGACCAGCTCTGGAAGAACATATTAACCTCCGCTTGTGATTTTCAGAAAACCATTCTAATTTAGCAAGTAATTAAGGGTCACATGTAGGACAAAGAGCTAGATAATCTTGGATTACCCACAGGAAGCTTTGTCTCCAAGGCAACCCCCGATGGAGGGGCTGTTAATGCAAAGGCCAGTCGGTTAATGAACTGGGAAAGGTAACTGGCTCCCAAACCTGTGAGAGCCAGGGAAATGGACCTAACAATTATATTGCTATTGAATGATTCAGTGAAACAAAAAAAAAAATGCTTCCAAAGCCAGTGGCGGCAAAACGTTTAGAGAAAGGATATAATTGTCACTGTTGTGCTAGACCAAACCCACAGGTCTAAAATTAGCCTATTGTGAGTTCAAGCCAGGCCAATCTTTATTTATGAATTTTAGTCCAGTCTCCAGCTGAAACTTCTGGTTTCAGTATTTCCTATGACCTAATTACCCCACAACCTGGGTTTTCCTGAGGGGCAGCCTCAGTTACTACACTAGGCTGGGAGAATGTCCCAAGGGAGTTTTTGAAGAGGAGACAAAACTAGTATTGACCATCAGAGCCCTTGATATTCCATGCGGGACTAAAAAATAAGATAGAGTTGCAGAGAGAAGCACTATAAGAGGATTTTTAGACCAGGTTGGTAAAGGTGGACGAGAAGACTGCAGGTGACCCAGTGACAGAGATGCTTTGATAAGAGGGAAAGAAAGCCAAAGGCATTCCCACGAGGAAACTTGAGAGGGACAGAGTGGAAAAGTTAAGCACCCTTGCCGCTTCCTCAATGTTTCTCTCTCTCTTTTTTTTAGTGGCCAGATTTAGGTCTTACATTGTCTATGAAGCCTTCTACAGCTCTATGAGCTCTTTATTTATTTCCATATTTGAACATTTCCTTGACCACCTTGCACACTTATCTGTATGTTCTCTTTCCATGTTCATTAATAGTCGTGCAGACCGGGCGCGGGTGGCTCATGCCTTAATCCCAGCACTTTGGGAGGCCGAAGTGGGTGGATCACCTGAGGTCAGGAGTTTGAGACCAGCCTGGCCAACATGGTGAAACCTGGTCTCTACTAAAAAACAAAAATAAAAAATTAGCTGAGCGTGGTGGTGAGCGCCTGCAATCCTAGCTATCTGGGAGGCTGAGGCACAAGAACTGCTTGAACAGTGACGTGAGACTGTGCCACTGCACTCCAGCCTGGGCGACAGAGTGAGACTTTGTCCAAAAGAAAAATAAAAGCCTTGTGTGGCTGGGTATTGTGTCTCTTGGCTTGTAAGATAAGGAATCATGGGATATTCATTTAGCAGCCTCTAAATATTTACTAAGAATCCATTATGAGGATGGCTGCTGGAGAACTAAAGATTGACAAAATACAGTGTCTGCCAGAAGGAGCTCAGAGACTACCGAAGAATGCAGAAAAACCAGCACAAAAGTGCAATAACCTCGGAGAGTGACATCCAAGCAGCTGGACATTCATCTGATCCAGTACATTCCTGGATATCAAGCAACAAGAAAGAGGAACCAGAAATTACAATTTATCACCAAGGCCCATGTGTGACCGCCCATAATCACCAACTCAAGAAATAAGTGAAAGCAGAGAGCATTGAACTTCTGGGTTAAGGCAGAAAAGGATACAAAGCAAAGACATTTTGGCAAAGACTTACTATGTTCTCCTACCCAGGAAAATAAGACCAGTGTGGTGTGTTTTCAGCATCTTATAAGGTGCATGCCCTTTTGAGCTAATTCTTCCATCAGGACAGATTTGAGGGTGGAAGGAAAGAAACTGATGCTAAACTGATCAGAGTTAGACCACAGGGAATGGAAAGAGATGATTCACTTAAAATCTGAAATTAAATTGGGAAAGGATTGCTTTCACAGTTGTAGGAGACTTATCTTAAAATTCTCTGAAATAGAGGTATAAAGGCTGAAGGGATCTATTCGGATATCTGGATGATTATTTAGAAAACTACGTTAATGACAAAGAAATAAACACCCAATGTTGACAAAAAGTGGAAAAGACAAAAGGAAACCTATCTGATAGAATAAAGCTCAAAATGCTCTGGTGAGTTGAAACCCAAATAAGACAGATGAATGAGAAGCAGGTCAGAGTCCCAAACAAGGCTTAAAGAAATTAGTTTTCAAGCTCAAAAGTAAAAAGCAAAAATGAGATATGAACTCCACCAAGAGAAATGGATAGTGACCTCCTTCGATAGTGAAGACAGAAGAAGTCAGGAAAATTTGCTGCTTATTAGATGGGCTTATGAGAAAAGCTCTTATGATGCCCATCTGAGATGTTCACACAGTTCTGTGTGCTTATAAAGGAAAATAGAAGCAGCACAGGGAAAGGGGACATCATATTTTCCTTTCTCGGGAATTGTAAACAGATACAAAAACCCCGGTGTGAAAAGTAGATGTGGGAATACACAATGAAGAAGTCAATTGGGAGGCTGAGTTAAACTGTGGCAGCTGGCCAGGTGCAGTGGTTCATGCCTGTAATCCTAGCACTTTGGGAGCCTGAGGCAGGTGGATCACGTGGTCAGGAGTTCAGGACCAGCCTGACCAACATGGTGAAACACTCTCTCTATTAAAAATACAAAAAAAAAAAAAAATTAGCCAGGTGTGGTGGCGCGGGCCTGTAATCCCAGCTACTCAGGAGGCTGAGGCAGGAGAATCACTTGAACCCAGGAGTTGAAGGTTGCAGTGAGCTAAGATCACACCATCTCACTCCAGCCTGGGTGACATAACAAGACTCTGTCTCAAAACAACAACAACAACAAAAACTGCGGCAGTTTGTCTGATGGCTGTTTAAATGGTCCGGAAGTCTTTGGGAAGGTGCTCCATGTCTATAATTCTGACAATAATTTGTAATCTTTTCTAGATACATTGTAGATCTACATGGCCATATCTGAAAACCATGGGACATGAAAGAGCAAGTCCTGAAACTCTCATCACCTCATTCATTCATTGAATAAGCATTTATTGTGCACCCAGGTGAACAGCACCTAGCACTGTTTTTGCATTAGGGATAGAGCAATGAATGAGAAAAACAAGGACTTGGTGTCATAGTGTTTTATGGGCCAGAGGGGAGAGATAGACAATAAAACCATTGACAGACTTTTAAAAATAACATTTCAAATTATGATGTTGGTAAGTGCTGCAAAAACAAATAAACGAAAAGCAGAGAGGTGAGATAGAGAGTGACTGGTAGGCAGGAAACCTTGGTACTTTAGGTAGAGGGCTCTGGGAAGCCGTCCTGGTGGGGAACACATTGGAGCTGAAGCTTGAGGGATAAAGAGGCAGCCTGGTGAAGATCAGGGAGCAGACAGTCCTAGGCAGAGGGACCACAATGAAAAGTCCAGTGGTGAGAAAGCCATGGCATGTTCAAGGAGCAAAAGAGAAGCCCAGAATGATGGGAGTGTGGTCAGAAGTGGGAGAATGGTGACAGAGGAGGCTGGAAGGATTGGCAGGGACCTGCTAACCACGGAAAGGGGTTTGAAGTATATTCTAGCTGCAGTGAGAGTGACCTGAGGCTTTCAAGCAAAGGCTACTATCATCTTTCTGTGTGGTCTCTGTGGCTCCACAGACCTAGTGGACCAGCAGAACCACCACCCGTTGCAGGATCTCAGATCCCACAGCAGACTGGCTGCGGCAGAATCTATACTAAGTCCCTGAATGCTGCTTGCCTATGTGAACTTGGAGAAGCACTTCTAGAATCATATCTGTGCTTTAAAAATACTCCATGGCACACCTACTAGGATGATTATAACTTTTTTGAGAAGGAAAATAACAAGTGTTGGTGAAGATGTGGAGAAATAAAAATTTTTCACATTGTTGGTGGCAATAAAAGGGGGAGCAGCCACTGTGGAAACCAGTTTGGCTCTTCCTCAATAATGCAAACATAGAGTTAGTCACTTAGAGCATTTCCCCTTCTGGGAATATACCCAAAAGAATTGAAAACAGATGTTCAAAGAAAAGCTGGTACATAAATATTTAGAGCAGTGCTATTCACAATAAACAAAAGGTAGAAACAAACCCAAATGTTCATTTACTGATGAAAGGATAAACAAATGTGGTCTATCCATATAATTTAATATTATTCATCCACAAAAGGAATGAAGTACTGATACGTGCCACAACGGGGATAAATCTTGAAAACATGCTAAGTGAAAGAAGCTAGACACATTAGGCCACATATTACATGATTCCATTCACATGCAGTATGCTAAATAGGCAACTCCATAGAGACAGAAAGCAGATGGTGGTTGCCGGGGGCAGTGGGGAGGAGAGAATGGAGAGGGACTGACTAATGGGCACAAGGTTTCCTTAGAGGTGATGAAAATCCAAAACTAGATAGTGGCGATGCTTACACAACATTGTTAATGTACTAAGTGTCACTAACAGTAAATTTTGTGTTATGCGTATTGTACCTTAATTTTCAAAAGAAGACTGTAAAGAGCAAGGACAAATAACACACCAAATGGTATTTCCCCAAGGGCTGCTGTGGAGTTAGTAATTGTTTGCTAATTGGGTCTTAATTTTGTAGCACTTCAGTAATGGTCTGGATACTGAAAACTTCAAAATGCACTACATTACTTTGAGAAAACGCCAAGCTAATAGACCTAGTCAATACCTTGTTGAAAACTCAAACAAAGATGAACAAAGCTGAATTAGGTCCGAATCAAGTAGAATGCAGTTCAGTGAGATTGAGAAGAAGAACTGAACAGTTGCCAAAGGCAGGAAGGTGATAAAAATCAAGGAGTCGGGAGCATGCCCACCGGAATCTGGAAGAGAGCACTGTGGACAAAGGGCCCATTTCCATAACTGGATTCATACGTGGGTGGATCACAGATCACAAACCACTGGGTTCCCTGGCCATTTCATTCAGCGTCACTCACCTGCATTCTCAAACTGTGCTTCCAACTCTGGGGTTTCCACCTGGTAACCAGAAAAACAAAGAAAGATGGATTGGTTAGATTCGCATATTAACACTTAGGAAGAGAAGGTGTTGCTTATTCATTCATTTGTTCATCCCCCACTTCCTACTCCCTACCCCCATCCAATCTTCTGGTCACCTACACTGCTCACCTCTGGAGAGGCCATAGAGCAGGGGTTAAAAGCATGACCTGTGGGTCTAGAGTGGTCTCGAATCACACCTTCACCATTTACTGTGAGTGATGCTGGGAAAGTCACTTAACCTTTAGTGCCTCTGTTTTCTCATATATAAGGTGGGAATAATGATTCAGAATTATGAGGACTGAGTCAGTACATGCAAAAGGCTTAGAACAGTGCTTGGAATTTAGGAATTGTCAATTCCGTTAGCTGCTTAACATTATTATTAATATTAATTCATATTAAGATGCTCATTCCTCTGCTGGGCACTGGGAAAGAATGAGATGTTCTCCCTGTTGAGGCAGAGCTCATATCTGGTGTGGGAATCTACTCAAAAGCTGCTTGGAAAACATAAAGGAAGAGGTGGGCATGAGTTCTTTGGGGTACCATAAAAATTTTAATTCTGCCCAGGAGGAAAGCTAAGATTTCAAAGACTGGGGGGCATCTGAGTGGCAGGAGAGGATGACAGTGATTATTGGTGAAGGGAGCAACATGTACAAAGGTCAGAAGGATGCAAGAGCCTGGCTCCCTTGAGGAACTGTGATTGACTCGGTGTAGCTGACGTAGGATATGAGGGGCGGATCCTCTACAGATGAGCTGGATGGTAGCTCCTCTCACTTCTGATGCTTGCCAGCGATCTCTATCATTTCTTCGCTCATAGATGCATCGTTCCAATTTCTGCCTTCATCTGCACGTGGCCGTCTTCCTTCTGTGTTTCCGTGTCTAAATTTCCTTCTTATAAGGACACCAGTCATTGCTGAAGGTCTACGCTAATCAATTAGGAGCTCATCCCAACTTGATTATAACTGCAAAGATGCTGTTCCTAATAGGTCACATTCATAGGTACCAGGGCTTAGGACTCCAACGTGTCTCTTGGGGAGGGCACAATTCCACCCACAGCAGGGCCTGACCAGTTAGAGCAGCAGGGAGCCGCAGACACACACATTTTACATGAATCACACCGGTGATCTGAGGTGAGGAGGCTGGAGGGCTGTGAGATGCTGGCGGGTCAGTTAGGAGTTTATTGCAAAACAGCAAGTGAGAATCTCAGAGCCCGGACAAAGGCCATGTTTGTGAGAATGCTGAGCCATCAGAAGTACTGGCCAACCCAGTTGGGATTTTTGGCAAGAACAGTTCATAGGCAGAGGGCAATGTGAACTTCCATTAGGAGGTGCATCGTGTCTGGTTATGAGCAGGCACTGACCATCATTTCCTAGATTTGTTATTTCATTAGGTTTGATAAAATGGTGACATTCTAAATCCATCATGTCCTCTTCATTTATTAGTGGGATGCTTCTAGAAAAAGTAATTTCCTCTCATCAACTATTTATTTACTTTGATCTACCGTATAAGCAGGAAAATGCCTTTTCTTTAAAAACAAAAACAAAAACTAGTTTTAAACTACAAAGTTGGTTCTCAGATACCCTCCTAAAATAACATTTATTTTTTCTTATTGTTTGCTGTTGTTGTTTTTCTGTTTGTTGATGCCATTTTGAACTCACAGATTTTAGCATATTTGAAGTGTTTCAGTCCATGTCAATTATTATCCTTGATAATGCCGAAAGCATTCTAGTAGAAGCATCTTCAAGTTGCCTCCTGAGTCCTGTTAATACAATCCCAGTAATGTTGCCAGTTTTCTTGCTTTGTTGAACTTTTCCAAGGTGGGTGAAGATTGGTATATTATTATTAAATTGCATTTCTTTTATTAGTAACAATATGCAGGAGCTTTTTGTGTATTTAATTGGGTGTATTGTGAGTGTGCGGCTGACCAGAGTACATGGATCAAAGTGCATGGGACGCTGCACTCAGGAGTGCACTGAACAACCAGCCTGGGCAACATAGCAAGACCCCATCTCCTCAACACATTGAAAACTTAGCTTGGCATGGTGGTGTGCACCTGCAGTCCCAGCTACTCAGGAGGCTGAGGAGGAAGGATTGCTTGGGCCCACGTGTTTGAGCCTGCAGTGAGCTATGATCACACCACTGGACTCCAGCCTGGGTAATAGCAAGAGCCTGCCTCTATTTAAAAAAGAAAAAAGTGCACCGAATTATCACACAGGAGCCCTACTCTCTAATCTTGCCGTTGGCATGACCTATAACCAAGTGTCCATCTTTCCAGATCTTCCTTTCTTATTAAATTAACGGGTATGGCTGGACAGCCTTCAAATTCCCCTGTCCGGCTAAAATGCTGAGAGCTTTATTTCTGGCTCCTACGTGCCCCAGACCTCATATAAAAGTATTTTTTTTTTCAATAGAGCCAATTGAATAATTGTATAACTAAGTTCAATTAAATTTTTGTGTTTGTGCAAGTTATTTTATCAAATTAATTTGCAAAACAAAAACTGTTAGATTATGTGTTCTTTTTTAATATTATTATTATTTTAAAATATGGTCACTGAACTGATGAAGGCCACATTGATTGACCCTTCTGCCTGCTCTTTCAGAAGCTGCAGCCAACTGGCAAATAGCTTCCCCAGCCTCCTGCTGAAGCATCTGCTAATGCTCTGCAGATTACCGTGTCCCCTCCGCCTCCCCCCTACCCTCCCCTTCGCCCTCCATCCTCAGGCTGCTCATTAACTCATTAGAAGCTGCTTTCATAGCAGCTGGAGGGGAGGTTCTGCTGCCTGCTGACTGTCGCTCAGGGTTTTCAGAGCATCTGCCTCAGTGTCACCTGCAGTCTTTGATAAATAGGACCATGTTTATCTACTTGGTGCTTTTCCTCCATAGCATTGAACACACCATGAGGAATAAACACGATCCTCGTGGAAATCTCTGTGCCATGTCTGTCTCATGCACTGGACGATAAGCTCCACAGGGCAGGCTGTGTCAGGTTTTGCTGACCGTCGTATCCCTGGCACTCAGCTCACGACATAGTACTTCGTGGGCATCCCAAGATTCCCTGGATGCGGAATGCCTGCATACAGGAGTGACTGAGTGAATCAGGTTGAACTTGGGGCTGACGTGCAGGTCTAGGTGTCCGTATACGTGTGTCAATGTATATATATGCATCTATACGATGGGATCTCCTGTACTAATCTAGCATACTCAGAAACTTCAGAGGAGGAGGCTGGCAAGTTCTTCATTCTGTGAGTCTGTGTGCTATTAGGAAAAAGAGGCCCAGTACGTGGCTCATGCCTGTAATCTCAGCACTTTGGGAGGTGAGGGTGGGTGAATCCCTTGAGGTCAGGAGTTTGAGACCAGCCTGGTCCACATGGTGAAACCCTATCTCTACAACAAATACAAAAATCAGCTGGGTGTGGTGGTGAGTGCCTGTAATCCCAGCTACTCAGGAGGCTAAGGCAGGAGAATCGCTTGAACCTAGAGGCAGAGGTTACAGTGAGAAGAGATTGTGAGATCTGTGGAGTGAGAGATACTCCAGCTTGGGTCTGTCTCAAAAAAAAAAAAAAAAAAAAGAAAGAAAGAAAAGAAAGAAAGAAAGAAAAGAAAAAGAAAAGCAGCATTGGCCTGGTAGGTCAAAGACCAAGAATCTGCTGCGGACTCGGCCACTCTCCATGGAGAGTGATGGTTTTGAGTCCATCACTTAATCTGCAGAACAGTGGTCTGGAGCCACAGTACCTATAAGGCTCCTTCTAATGCCAAGATCCTAAATTTCTCTCTGTGGGGAGTGCTATGTCACTGACCTAGATAGAGCTCAGATGCTGGCAGCCTGCTTTCTCAATCCCTAAATGACATGTGTCATGTTCATTCTACATATCGCTCCCCATACAAAACTCTTCTGTAGATTTGGTTTTCAAAACCAAATGCTGCCTCTCCTGCCTTGCACAGTCATTTCTGCCTTTTAGGACTATCTGCTTCCCAGTTTCTCTCCCTAACTCTCAGTCACCTTGTGTCAGCTTGAAATTACTGACCCCTAACTGAGCACCAGGCACTGTTCCCACCACTTGACAGGTGTCAACTCATTTCCCAAGGATAAACTTCGATCCCACTAGGTTTTGCCCATGTCACGTGCTCGTATTTACAGGCCAACTGTGTCATGTCAATTTCATATTTCTTTGGCTGATGTGCTGTAGCGTGTGGCTGGATTTTACATTGGGGCAGCGTGGAAAAGGTAAGTTAAGCTTGGGCACTTAGGTGGGAGTGGAAGACAAACTGCAGGATCACTGCCCTAAAGTAGGTTAGAATGTATGGGGAAATTAACCTTCTAGAAGCGGTGGTGATTATACACAATATGAGGTAATATAGAAAGTGCTATATCCCTTGGCATACTTTATACATCCTCCAGGACACTCTGGAAATACTGTAATGAGCCTTTGGAGGCCAGGGAATGGAGAGTTTTGTGGGAGCCTGTGTACCCCTTGGGCGTGATGCTTCTCCCCGAATTTCCATGGCGTCCCAATCCTCCATGGGTCCTGCTGCTCAGCAAGAGCAGGAAACCCAGGCTCGGCACTCCTGAGATGATGTTTCTAGAAGCCCACTTTTTCCACAGCATATCGCTCCTTCCTGCCACACACTCCATTCTATTTCTTTGCTACTTAAAGAAACAAAATTATCTTGAATAAATATACTAAAATTTTGGCTGGGTGCAGTGGCTCACTCCTGCAATCCCAGCACTTTGGGAGGCATAGGTGGGCGGATCATGAGGTCAGGAGTTTGCAACCATCCTGAACAACTTGATGAAACCCTGTCTCTACTAAAAATACAAAAATTAGCCAGACGTGGTGGTGCGTGCCTATAGTCCCAGCTACTCAGAAGGCTGAGGCAGGAGAATTGCTTGAACACAGGAGGCTAAGGCAGGAAAATCACTTGAACCCAGGAGGCGGAGGTTGCAGTGAACCAAGATTGCGCCATTGCACTTGAGCCTGGGC